GTCATCTCCATCCTGTTCCTCTTTATATACATTGTTACCAGGAACGTTTCCTGTTCAGCGCTTCCTGTTTCTCGGATTGTATTATGTCTATTTATGTGCCGACCAATAAAAACAAAGTAAACCGACGAATGTCATTCAGTTCCTGACACCGAACACGCACAACGCATTATCTGAGAGAGTGGGAGGAGCCAGACCTATCACATACTTGTAATTGTTGTTACAATCTTGCTGACCCATACTGGGATTATTACTCGTGTACAGATTTAATGACGGCTCCCTCTAGTGGATGTGATCGGCAGCCTGATAGAAAGTTTCAGCCAACTCAGACCTGAGCCCATAGACGGCTGAGAGAGAGGAACGGGAAAACGCAGTCACTATGCAGCCAAAACAGGAGGCGGAGCCCGGCTGTGCCATAATGAAATCCGGCTTCCACTTCCATCCCGACAGACTCTGCACAGGAAACTATCATAACAATTCACATCGGGGCCCGGAAGACCCCACCCACTACAGGAGGGGGCGGAGACAAGACCAGTCACCCTGCACAAGAAGAGAGAGCAGCAGTGGCCGGTCTTTATTACAGGAGGGGGCGGAGACAAGACCAGTCACCCTGCACAAGAAGAGAGAGCAGCAGTGGCCGGTCTTTATTACAGGAGGGGGCGGAGACAAGACCAGTCACCCTGCACAAGGAGAGAGAGAGAGCAGCAGTGAGCGGTCTTTATTGCAGGAGGGGGCGGAGACAAGACCAGTCACCCTGCACAAGAAGAGAGAGCAGCAGTGGCCGGTCTTTATTACAGGAGGGGGCGGAGACAAGACCAGTCACCCTGCACAAGGAGAGAGAGCAGCAGTGAGCGGTCTTTATTACAGGAGGGGGCGGAGACAAGACCAGTCACCCTGCACAAGGAGAGATTAGCAGTGAGCGGTCTTTATTACAGGAAGCTCCAAGTTTTGCACAGATCTGGAAGAACACGTATGACTCTTGTATGAGGACAATGTCGGCTGATCCCGGAGTTCAGCTGTAACACGTATGCACATTGATCATACAATGTACATTGAGGCGACGGCGTTCCTATAAACACGTAACAATATACAATTCTAGAGTTCCTGGGTATAGCCCCTCCCCCATGTGCGGCCATTGTTGCCCCCTCTCTATCAGTAGACTACGAGGAGTACCTGTCACATGTCCGATGATCCCGCTCCCCGTCTATCGGAGAAAAGATGGCGCCGGCGCTCCTTCCTCTTCTGCAATGAAATGTAACAAATATCATTAAAGGGAAAACCAGCCAATCAAATCTCAGATCAGATACAAAGCCGAGCGCCGGGCACAGAGCCCCCCGTGTCACCCGTGTGCAGAAAACCTGGAGCGTGTTTTATTGTTGCTGCACATGGGAGGGCAGGGAAATGGTGGGAGAGAGGGTGGGGCATGGTGGGGGAAGGGGGGTAGGGATTGGAGAGGATGGGGAATGGTGGGAGGGAAAGTGGGTAGGGATTGGAGGGGGTAGGGAATGGTGGGAGGGAGAGTGGTTGGGGGAAAGGGGGTAGGGATTGGAGAGGATGGGGAATGGTGGGAGGGAAAGTGGGTAGGGATTGGAGGGGGTAGGGAATGGTGGGAGGGAGAGTGGTTGGGGGAAAGGGGGTAGGGATTGGAGAGGATGGGGAATGGTGGGAGGGAAAGTGGGTAGGGATTGGAGGGGGTAGGGAATGGTGGGAGGGAGAGTGGTTGGGGGAAAGGGGGTAGGGATTGGAGAGGATGGGGAATGGTGGGAGGGAAAGTGGGTAGGGATTGGAGGGGGTAGGGAATGGTGGGAGGGAGAGTGGTTGGGGGAAAGGGGGTAGGGATTGGAGAGGATGGGGAATGGTGGGAGGGAAAGTGGGTAGGGATTGGAGGGGGTAGGGAATGGTGGGAGGGAGAGTGGTTGGGGGAAAGGGGGTAGGGATTGGAGAGGATGGGGAATGGTGGGAGGGAAAGTGGGTAGGGATTGGAGGGGGTAGGGAATGGTGGGAGGGAGAGTGGTTGGGGGAAAGGGGGTAGGGATTGGAGAGGATGGGGAATGGTGGGAGGGAAAGTGGGTAGGGATTGGAGGGGGTAGGGAATGGTGGGAGGGAGAGTGGTTGGGGGAAAGGGGGTAGGGATTGGAGAGGATGGGGAATGGTGGGAGGGAAAGTGGGTAGGGATTGGAGGGGGTAGGGAATGGTGGGAGGGAGAGTGGTTGGGGGAAAGGGGGTAGGGATTGGAGAGGATGGGGAATGGTGGGAGGGAAAGTGGGTAGGGATTGGAGGGGGTAGGGAATGGTGGGAGGGAGAGTGGTTGGGGGAAAGGGGGTAGGGATTGGAGAGGATGGGGAATGGTGGGAGGGAAAGTGGGTAGGGATTGGAGGGGGTAGGGAATGGTGGGAGGGAGAGTGGTTGGGGGAAAGGGGGTAGGGATTGGAGAGGATGGGGAATGGTGGGAGGGAAAGTGGGTAGGGATTGGAGGGGGTAGGGAATGGTGGGAGGGAGAGTGGTTGGGGGAAAGGGGGTAGGGATTGGAGAGGATGGGGAATGGTGGGAGGGAAAGTGGGTAGGGATTGGAGGGGGTAGGGAATGGTGGGAGGGAGAGTGGTTGGGGGAAAGGGGGTAGGGATTGGAGAGGATGGGGAATGGTGGGAGGGAAAGTGGGTAGGGATTGGAGGGGGTAGGGAATGGTGGGAGGGAGAGTGGTTGGGGGAAAGGGGGTAGGGATTGGAGTGGGTGGGGCATGGTGGGGGAAAGGGGGTAGGCATTGGTGGGGGTGGGGCAATGAAAAGTGTGGAATGCTTTATAAACCTATACACATAGTCACATGATTGAATGAATACAATGTATCTGAACCCTCACAATGGGCGTCTCTCGGTCGCTCCCTCTGCTCTGCGGGAAATGGTTTGTTCCTCAATAACCACAAATCCGCTCCGGGTGCACCAAACCCAGATATTACCTTGTAGTAGTAGCAGTGACATCATCACTGTGCTGCCGGGGGGCGGAGACACGACCGGTCACATGGAGAGCAGTGGGAGGAGTTCGGCTTAATTATCTTTTCAGACGTAGTTTTCCGTATTTTCAATCTTCAGCTTCCGCGATACGAATTCTCGGTGATCCCCGGAAGGTGCCGATCACCACGCGGTGTGAGCCGGGCCCCTCGCCGCCACTGGCTCGGAGAGACCGGGGGGCCAATCACATCATTGCACTCGGGATGGAGTTCACATTAGGCCTGAACTTCACCCAAATCAGGGAAGCAGCTGATCAGATCATACGTATTGATTACCTGTCGTTTTCCGCCGAGCTGACGTTGTCACCGGGCTCCGCGTCTCCCCCCAACGCTTCCCACCCCGATATTATGTATCTTCTTATACCTTCCACACAGCACTCGCCTCCCGCCGGAAAGTGTGCGCTACACAGGGACAGCCACGGGGGACGCACACTGCCCAGCCAATCACAAGACTCCTCCTCTGATGTGACCCGCTGCACATCTGGGGGCACCTCACAATGTACACACAAGCTCCGCCCCTTTTTAAAAAGCCATCATAAGCATTCCCTCAGTCTCCCCTCCCCCAGTGATCAGTCTCCCCTCCCCCAGTGATCAGTCTGCTGCAGGCAGGAGGAAGCATGTCCTCAGTCTCCCCTCCCCCCAGTGATCAGTCTGCTGCAGTCAGGAGGAAGCATTTCCTAAGTCTCCTCTCCCCCAGTGATCAGTCTGTAACATTGTATCCAGTCACAAGGTGAGAGGCTGCAGCAGGGGGCTGATCTGTGTCAGACATTTGTGTGTGAACAAGCAACAATTACCCCACCGGAATCAGAACTTCCTGTCACTTTTCGGGGGTTCGGCTGCAATGAAACGTTGATTCTGATGCGACCCAATCACGTCAGATCCGGGTTCTGGTTCTTTATACACTTTATTAATAAATTATAAAGGCGTCACATCAGATATTCACATAGCGTCCAAAAATAATAAGAGGCGTGTCCTTTAAAGGTGGTGGGAGGGGCTATGCAAATAACTCCTTCCTGCCAAATCATGACCAGCTCTGTATCCAGACACCTGCCAGCATGGAGCAGGGACCCGGCTCAGGACCGAGATGGCGGTCATGTGACCTGTCTATGGGCTGGTGTGGGGCAAAGCAGCCATTAAAGGGGACCTGTCCTGTTTTTGCTGTCCTCCCCCCAGCAAAAAGTAATAATAAATAGTAAATAAAGTGGCTTACAGGCCCAGGCGGGGGGCGCTGTTGGAGTTGCGCACCGACAGGGAGATGACCCGGGAGCGCCGGCAGCACGGCAGGTACTTCCCCATGGCCCGCTTGAAGTCCCTCATGAAGAGCGGGTAGATGATGGGGTTCATGGTGCTGTTGCAGTAGCCCAGCCAGGTCAGCACGTCGAAGAGCCCGGGGGGGACGCAGTCGCAGACCGCCTGCGGGGGCACAAGAGAGGAAAGGAGCGTCAGCGCGGCGGAACAGGAGCAGCGCAGGGAAAAATGGCGGGAAATCAAAACCGAGACCTACAGAGCCAGGCCGACCCTGATCCACATTCACGGCTCCTACCCGGGGCCCCGCCCCCCAAGGACAAAGGATTCCCAGAGCACCATGGACACAGAAACTGTTTGCTTTCAGGCTCTCTCTCTCAGATTAAAACCTTACATGGCAGGAAAGGGGGAGGAGTCACTGCTATGAAGGGGGGGAGACAATGCTCATCAAAAGGAGGAGATATTGATAAAAAAGGGGGAGGAGACACTGCTCTGGAAAGGGGGAGGAGACACTGCTCTGGAAAGAGAGGGGTCACTGCTCTGCAGGGGGAGGAGACACAATTCTAGAAGGGAAGGGGCCACTGCTCTGCAAGGGGGAGGAGAATGCTCTGGAATGGGAGGGGTCAATGCTCTGCAGGGGGAGGAGACACTGTTCTAGAAGGGAAGGGGTCACTGCTCTGGAAAGAGAGGGGTCACTGCTCTGCAGGGGGAGGAGACACAATTCTAGAAGGGAAGGGGCCACTGCTCTGCAAGGGGGAGGAGAATGCTCTGGAATGGGAGGGGTCACTGCTCTAGAAGGGGGAGGAGACACTGCTCTAGAAGGGAAGGGGTCACTGCTCTGCGAGGGGGAGGAGACACAATTCTAGAAGGGAAGGGGCCACTGCTCTGCGAGGGGGAGGAGAATGCTCTGGAATGGGAGGGGTCACTGCTCTAGAAGGGGGAGGAGACACTGCTCTAGAAGGGAAGGGGTCACTGCTCTGGAAAGGGGGAGGAGACACTGCTCTGGAAAGAGAGGGGTCACTGCTCTGCAAGGGGGAGGAGACACTGTTCTAGAAGGGAAGGGGTCACTGCTCTGGAAGGGGGAGGAGAACTATAGACTGAACAGAAGCTGTTTGCTTTCCGACTGTCTCTGTCAGATTGAAACCTTATATGGCTATAGCTGACCAGGCAGGGAGGGGGTGGTGTCACTGCTCTGGAGGGGGAGGAGACACTGCTCTGCAAAGGGGGAGGAGACACTGCTCTGCAAAGGGGGAGGAGACACTGCTCTGACTTGTAGAGCACTATGGACACAGCAGAAGCTGTTTGCTTTCAGACTCTCTCTCTCAGATTAAAACTTCATACAGCTGTGGAGAGGCAGCCGAGCCACAGACACCACGGGGAGGCCCCACACGGAACTCAGACCAATAGGCTCCACCCACATTAAAAGCATGGCTCCGGGTTCGCTCACCTGGACAACGTTGGCCACGAAGAAGGGCAGCCACGCCACGAAGAACATGCCCAGCAGGATGCCCAGGGTCAGGCTGGCTTTCAGGGCCTTCTTGCTGTGTTTGGTGACAAACTTTCGGCTCTCGGTGGCGGGAAGGGTGAGAACCTGTGAGAGAGAGAAGCAGACGGGTGAGAGGAGGGCGGAGCAAATTGTAGGAGGCGGAGCTAATTGTAGGAGGCGGAGCACAGAACACAAATTCAGCCTAATCCCTTCCTCCCCCAGACTCTGTCTTCCCAACGTTGGTCCTCTCTCCCGTTGTCATGACTTTCCTGAGTCCCCGCCCACTTTTTGCGGCAGTCATTACACGTGATCTGCACACACACACGTGGAGCGCCCGTGTATTGGCTGTACCATGGCAGCCGTGCACAGCGCAGCACACAGCATCCTCAGCAAGCAGGGAATGTATTCCAACCTGTTTGTTAAGCTGAGCCAGAGCCCTAGTAATGGCTGCGAGGAGGGGGGAGGAGTCAGGAATGCAGGTGGGAGGGGCTGTGAACATTGGCCCAGAAGTCAGATCTCCCCCAATCCGATCGCTGAACATTGGCCGTGAGAAGAGCCGGGTGTTCTATCGAAAGCTCCAACCTATCGAGTTCTCCAACTGCCTGACTTCCGGTTTCTTATTAGCGGATGGGGGAGCCGCGGCGTCATTGTGCGCTCAGCGTTCATCGCCGGGGGGAAACGACCATCTGTCCGAAACTCACGCTCGGCTGACTCTGCCAAACCGGACCGAGCCAACGACCCGTCCAATGGTAACGCTGCACGGGGGAGGGGCCGAGGAACATCTGTACCGTTCGACTGGAAGTAGCCGATGATGTGACTCTGTGATTTCATAGACCGGTCCGAGCATCAGATAACACAATCAGCATCCCTGCTTAACGACTGCCGAGATAAGATCGGTCAGCCCAGAGGTGCCAGGAGGCATCCAGTCACATGGGGCGATGATGTCATGTCTGGGGGCAGCACTAATTTAAATGACTGTGCCTGGGCCAAGAGCTCCAATCTGGAAGAACTATGTCATCAGACTGCTGCAGGCAGGAGGAAGCATTTCCTCAGTCTCCCTTCCCCCCGGTGATCAGTCTGCTGCAGGCAGGACGAAGCATTTCCTTAGTCTCCCCTCCCCCCGGTGATCAGTCTGCTGCATCGCAAAACACAGATCTGCATTGAAGTCCATGGAGGCCGCTCGCACGTTGTGCGTTGCGGTTTTGATCTCGTAGACATTTCTGCGCACTGAGAGCCGCACACAGCTAAACCGCGCAAAACAAAAACCGCGTGATAACCGCTCAGGAGGTGAATCTCCTCGGTGTGCGCCGGGGGGGGGAGGGGGTGCAGAAGTTCCTTTCACTGCTCCCGGACCTCGTCTGGTGCCAGAAAACCTCCACGTCGCCATCGCTTTTTGTGTATACAATGTATTCGGCTCACGGATGAGGATTCAAAACTCCAAAAAACAAAGAAAAGCCGAAAAAGAAACAAAAACTAAATACCGGAGCCGGGGCGGCGCAGGACGCACGCCATGTAAACGCGGCTCCTCCCGGCTGATATCCGGAGTTACAGAGCGCGACCACATGGCGGCTCCCGTCACATGACGCTCATCTAGGTAAAAGTTTACAGAGACTGAATGCCAAGGCCAGACAGTGTTTTCGGTGGCGGTGGTGGCAGTGTTGGTTGTGGTGGTGACGACAATGTTGGTGGCAGTGTTGGCGGTGGTGGCAGTGTTGGTTGTGCCGGCAGTGGTTGTGGTGGTGCCTGCAGTGGTTGTGGTGGTGGTGGCAGCAGTGTTGGGGGTGGTTGTTGTGTTGGTGGTGGTGGTGGCAGCAGTGTTGGTGGTGGTGGTGGGGGCAGTGTTGGCGCTTGTTGTGGTGGCAGCAGTGTTGGTGGTTGTTGTGGCAGTTTTGGGGGTGGTTGTTGTGTTGGTGGTGGTTGTTGTGGCGGCAGTGTTGGCGCTTGTGGTGGTGGCGGCAGTGTTGGCGCTTGTGGTGGTGGCAGCAGTGTTGGTGGTTGTTCTGTTGGTGGTCGTGGCAGCAGTGTTGGTGGTTGTGGTGGCGGCAACAGAGTTGGTGGTTGTTGTGGTGGCAGTGGCGTTGGTGGTGGCAGCAGTGTTGGCGGTGGCAGTGGTTGTGATAGCAGTGTTGGTGGCAGTGTTGGCGGTGGTGGCGGCAGTGTTGGCTGCAGCGGTGGTGATGGTGGCAGTGGTTGTGATAGCGGTGTTGGCGGTGGGGGCGGCAGTGTTGGCGGTGGTGGTGGCAGTGTTGGCCTCAGCGGTGTTGGTGGTGGCTCTAGAAGGGAAGACTGCGTTGGCGGTGGTGGCGGCAGTGTTGGCGGTGGTGGTGGCAGTGTTGGCCTCAGCGGTGTTGGTGGTGGCAGTGGTTGTGATAGCAGTGTTGGCGGTGGTGGCGGCAGTGTTGGCGGTGGTGGTGGCAGTGTTGGCCTCAGCGGTGTTGGTGGTGGCAGTGGTTGTGATAGCAGTGTTGGCGGTGGTGG